TTCAAAAATGTGTCCGATGACCCCGCCAACCAACCAAGATGGCCGCCATGGGTAAAATATAGATTTTGGCTTATATCTTTGAAACCAAAGCATTTAGAGTAAATCTAACAAGGTAAAACTGATTATCAGGTCAAGATCTATCTGCCCTAAAATTTTCAGACAAATCTGACAACCTGTTGTTGGGTTGCTGCACCTGAATTAGTAATCTTAAGGAAATTTTGCAGTTTTTGGTTATTATCTTGAATATTATTATAGATAGAAATAAACTGTAAACAGCAATAATGTTCAGCAAAGTAAGATCTACAATTATGTTGTCATGACCAAAATTGTCAGTCGACCCCTTTAGGAGTTATTGCCCTTAATAGTCAATTTTTAACAAGTTTTCGTAAATTTTTGTAATCTTTTACAAAAATCTTCTTCTCTGAAACTACTGAGACAAATTTAACCATACTTGGCCATAATCATTATTAGGGTGTCTAGTTTAAAAAATTTGTCCGATGACCCCGCCTTCCAACCATCATGGCCGACTTGGTTAAAAATAGAACATAGGGGTAAAATGCAGTTTTTGGTTTGTATCTCTGAAACTAAAGCATTTAGAGCAAATCTGACAGGAGGCAAAAATGTTCATCAGATTTACATTTATCTGCCCTGAAATTTTCAGACGCATCCGACAACCCGTTGTTGGGTTTCTGCCCCTGAGTAATTTTACAAAAATTTTGTAGTTTTTTGTTATTATCTTAGATATCATTATAATATCTAATATCTAATACTATTAATTTTGATTTTAACCATAATTACATGACTTCCAAAGCATCAGTAAATACAGGTGAGCCTCTAGTTTTATAATAGGAGGAAAATGAATATTATATTTATGTACATCTTAGTACATGATGTATTTCGGTTAGACAAATATCTGGTATGTAGCAAGTTTTGCAAGGAAGCCACCTACTAACCGCACAAATCTCTTCGTTTAAGGAGCAAGGTTTCGCCTCAAGAGGCTTCGCGTATTTCTGTGGGATGTAAACATACGCATTCACGTCAGATCAGAATTGAGACGTTGAATATTATGTATGGTAATGACACGCTTTCTGCAGCTTCCAATTACAACATTTTTAGAGTTGCCTTTTCGAAGCAAAATTGTTGACCCTATATGAGGCTGTCAAGATCCAGAATACTCTAATTTTCATACCAGTCGAAGACTTAAATGTAATATCACTGATATACCTAAACCACAGGGATGAATGGATTCATATAAATATTGTCCCTGGTATCCCGAACGGCAGTAACATCTTTATCAAAGTGGGGCGTCTGTTTGGTTGTTAGGGATGTTTAACTACGCAATCCCGTCCAATGTCATGTTCTCTGCTCGTTAAAGAACCATTGGAACACCTCATTGGGGGATCGAGAGTTGGCATGTTGCAAGGTTAAATGTCGACCCTCTATCCAACATACCCTCATTTCCATTGACAGTCCAAATTTCTTCGACTCGGGAGGCCTTACTGACAGAACCTACATATTGCATTAATTGTTGATAGTGTATCTTACTGAATATGTATGAAATATTTGCCTCTGAACGTTAAGCAATTTAAACTCGAGCAATCAATCAATATTAAAATACCTTTACCTACCATACATGCCGTTTTGGTTTTTTTTTATTTTTTGATTCCGGTAATCAGCGACCAATGGATCATATATTTGACCCACCAAGACATTCCAAGGGTTATGTAAGTAAATCGTCATTTTGCGAAAACTATACACGTGTTTATCTCTATTCTGAATTTAGAGAAAAATAATAAAAATTTCGTTTGATTGCAAATGAGACAACTCTCTTTTAGAAACCAAATGATGTAGAAATAAACAGCTACCTGTCACCGTTCTGCCTTCAACAGGGGATAAAAGCCATACGACATCAAAGAAACATGTATGAAAGATCAGTTTAATTAAAGCGTCAGTTTAGCTGTACAGGATGTACAAGTACACAGCCACATCCAGTCAGAATAGGAACGTTTCCTGTGTAGAGACTGCCTAGCTCTCTTCACGTGTAGAACCCTTGCAATAACTCTTTAAGGGGTCCTGTTGCAAGGCAAATTTTGTGTCCCTGTGTAATAAACCCTCATTGCACAATGGCAGTCTAAATTTCTCCCCGACCTTCATCCCGGACGTCTTTTATTACAGGACCTTGCTATTGTATTCATTGATAAATTGTTCTCGTCCTGACGATACAAAATATTTGCCACTGAACGTTAAACAGCTAATAAACAATCAATCGAATTAGGCTTTGCTCAAGTGAGTTGGAACCTTTTTTTCTTAGAAATTGCGTAATTGATCAAGGTGGAATTGAAGCATTGCCGACAGAGATCGGAGATTAAACATATCACCCTGCAGCACTGGTATCAATCATTGCTTTGAGCTCAGGGATTAAACAGATCACCCTGCAGCACTGGTATCAATCATTGCTCTGTGCTCAGGGATTAAACAGATCACACTGCAGCACTGGTATCAATCCAGTGCAAGTAAATGAAAATAACACTTCACAAATTTCTTATGTTTTTCTTGATTTTTATTCATCATTGAGTTTAATTTTGGCTTTAACTTTGATTCCTCTTCGTTTTATCAACCCTTCAACGTTTTGTATAAATGTTACAGTTATCCTGGGATGTAAAGATATGTTAAAACGTTTGATTTATCACCAAAAGACCATACAAAGAATAGCCAAATTCATCTTTGCTTGAGATTGTGGGAACCTTTATTTTGTAAGTAATTTCGTAATTTATCATAAGTCATGAAATTAGAAACGTTTATACATATATATCCCTAAATTCACATCTGTATTATTTCAACCGGATCACTGTTCTTTAACATAACGGAGAATGTTACGATTGATCGATTGGTGGTTGCTTAACGTCCAGTGGCAAATATTTCATAAATGTTCAGGACGAGAGAAAAAAATAACCATTAGTGCAATAGGTAGGTCCTGTAATAGAGGCCGTCCGGAATGAAGGTCGGGGAAATGTAGACTGCCACTGGAAAATGAGGGTAATTGGCTTTGGATAGAAATTTTGCCTTGTAAAAGTCCACCTACAGACTCCTCAGAGTCGTAACAAGGGTTCGTAGCGTGTACAGATCGTGGCACTCTCTTTACACGAGGCATCAGATTTAAGGTGACGTGGCTGCGTACTTTTACATCCCGCACAGTTAAACGGACGCCCTATTTTGGCAAGGGTTTTACTGCCAGTCGGGAGGAGACCTGCAGTGGCCATATTTCTATTCCCCTGTCAACTTGGGGATGATATTGTATGATAAGGCCACTTTTCCACCTTCAATTTCTACTTATAACAATCTTTAGTTGTTCATTGGACATCAGTACTTGTTTTGGAAAAGGTGTCTTCTATATTGGCATTATGTGTCTAAAAGTTTTTTCCAAGTGGTGAAAAACTTTAAAAAAGTACCTTATTCTTGATCTTGTCGTTAATATATTGATGTGATAAACATCTGAACGACATGTTTCTTCTTATATTATTTTTCAAAGATGTTATGTTTGTATAAAACAGACTCGGCTTTCTCCGCCTCATTTTTAGACTCGTACCTCGAATTTGACATACACGGTCATCTCAGTGCCAGAATCTATGACAAACGAGACGATTTTAATTTTGAAATTATCAATTTTCCCCCACCTTAGTAGCAATATACCAACTTCACCTGCATTTGGGATATACATTTCCCAACTTAATCGGTATTCAAGAGCTTGTAGCTGCTACTCAGACTTTGTAAAACGTCACCACTGTCTGAGCAGAAAGTTGATGAACCAGGGGTACGTCAAAGAACGTCTCGTCCTTTTTCTAAAAAAACGTTCATCGGAAGGTACCAAGACCTTGTTGATAAATATTCCTCATCAACTTCACAAATAATACACGTTGGTCTTGGAGTATAGATTCTGGACACTGATGTTGTTTATCATCTTAATAACGTTTTATAGTATTCTTTTATTTGTCTTTTTGAATATTACTTTTACTGTTTATTCTAGTGTTGGTGATATCCATTTGACGTGGCTCGGTACTTGAATATCCCGTCATTGTGTTATGCAAAATTTTGTATTCTTTTCTTTTCTTTTTGTTTATGTGCTTTGTCAATATGACTTTTTGTGTTTCTTTGTTGCATAATTGTATGTTTTTATAGTGATTAAGATTAGAACACAATGTTGACTGTTGTACCCCTATTTTGACATTTTTACCTTTTATGTCTGTTTGTTTTGTTCATACATCGTTGTCAATATAATGGAATTGTATGCGACTGTCGTACACGTGAGAGGTTTAGCTAGCTATACAACCAGGTTTAATCCACCATTTTCTACATATGAAAATGCCTGTACCAAGACACGAATATGACAGTTGTTATCCATTCGTTTGATGTGTTTTAGCTTTTGATTTTGCCATTTGATTAGGGACTTTCCGTTTTGAATTTTCCTTGGAGTTCGGTATGTTTGTGATTTTACGTTTTAGTAAAGCTGTTGTTCATCAATATAAATATATATTGACGAAAAACTATGTACAAAATGTAATTGAAACTCCTTTATGCATTGATTACTCCTTCGTGAATTTTCTACTTACTTAACGTCATGATCAACCTTTAAACTGAGAAGTAACATGCATGTTAAAAGAAAGCTATATTTATGAATAAAACATTAATTTGTTAACTGTTAAAGTCATCTGTTAAATTAAGGCTTATGCTGTTTATGTTGTACTGTTACACCACTGTCCCAGGTTTAAGGGGTGGGGTGGCGCGCATCAAAACGAGTTTTATCCAGGCACACTCTGTATGTGCCTATCCCAAATCAGTGGTTGTCGTTTGTTGCTGTATATCATATTTTGTTTTCGTTCATCATTTTGTACATAAATCAGGCCGTTAGTTTTCTTGTTTGAATTGTTTTACATTTGTCATTTCGGGACATTTCATAGCTGACTATGTGGTATGGGTTTTACTCATTACTGAAGGCCTTACGGTGACCTATTATTATTAATTTCGAACTTACGAGTTATATCGAAAAAAAACTATATGTTCTAGAAAAATGAACTCGGTTAAAGGATAAAGATATGATAGGAAAATATGCAAAAAATGATATTACTTGGATTAAGGTCATCCTGCTTTGTGATTGGTTTCGCTCTGTCAGGAATTCTTTTAACCTATAAACAAAAACACAATTATAATGTAGCTGAACTAAATTATGTTCTACTGAACATATAACACGTATGAAGTACGAAGCCAATAAGGAGGGTAAACAAAATATAACTTGTAAGATAGTGTTTCAAATATCAACATATACACTTTTTTCATAATTACAACTTACAACCTTATGAATTAATGTTTAAGCAATAAGTCAGCAGTCATCAATCCGTCAAACTTGATGAGGATCATTGACTGGTAGGACGAATCGGTAGTTGTCAAAAATAATAACCAGAAAATATATATAATGATGTTTAATCTATCTATTCAGAATATTTTTGCCCCTCGACAAATAGTAGCAAAATGGTCTAGATGTTCCGAGTGATTGTGAAGGTCAGCTTCCCATACAGTCTTCATTGATTTTGTTTGGCAATGCTAGAAATGGGGTGTTGACAGCGGTAACGATTAGTTGCAAACCATGGGAACTGTAAATGGCTTTGATATTACAGAATCCTCTTTTCTTTTCTTTCATTTAAGATGGCTGCCCGCGTGAAAACATTCAGTCACATGCCGAAAAAAAGTTGGTGAAATTTGCAAATATTACTAAATTTTTCCTCTTGTTAAATGATTTGAAATATCTTAAATAAAAAAGGAATTCTTTTGATATAAAACGATATCGCGATCGCGAAAATCTCATGAAAAAAGGTACCAAAGTATAAGAAAAATAAAATCAAACAATGTAAAAAAATGAATTGGTCAAAGGTTAAACTTACTATTACTAAGCTATCTTCCATTTTGGTTCATCATTACTGAGTAACAAACATTACTTAGTTCTAACAAAAAGTAAAAAAAAAAACCCAAAAATGCCGCTCTTCATCAATGTAGACAAAAATTACAGAACCGGCACTTAATGAAAAACAACTCATTATCAGGTTCCAAAAATTCTTATATCTAATGCTTTCAAATTCAAAACGGAAAGTCCCTCAACAAATGTCAAAATCAAACGCCCAAACACATCAAACGGATGGGAAACAGCTCTTATATTCCTTGGTACAGACATTTCTATATTAAAGTTAAGAATAAACTATTAGACTCTTAATCAACAAAAACAGAAAATGAAGTATTTATAATCTTAAATTTCTTCACAGTATATGACACAATTTACTCATATCTACACATTACAAACGATTTCAATTCATATAAATGAATACTTGGAAGTCTTATTCAACACAAACAAGAGTGTAAGTATCTTTTTTTTACATTTTATAAAAAAGAGGCCTTGAAATGACTGATTTCAAAGAACGATCCATGATTTTGAATAAAAAAATAAAATATTGGTAGTTTGAAATAATGCGAACAAAATAATTAGTATATTTCCACATATATGCATCATATATTACGAAAAGAAAACGTCATAAAGTACAAAAAATACAAATATCCAATCACGGTTAATGATTAACGATAAAATTATTAATAAGAAAAAAATTTGGACGTTTGTTCAAAGCAAACAAAAGTTGCAGTATATGTACTCTTCTATTATTCACATTTCATTTCATGAAAACCAATTGATGCAGAGGCACTGAAATGACTGATTGCAAATACCAGTAGTTGATTATTTTCCTAAAGAATACAAACAAGAGTTTACGGATCTAGATTTTTATATTATTCAAATTTTATGAAGAAACATATCATGTAGAAACACTTCAATGATTGATTGCAAAATTGTTTACGTTGTTTTCAATACAAAACTAATTACATCTTATTTGATTAGATTAACTAAAAACAAACTTATTGCTAAAAAAAAAGTTATACAATAAGTAAGAACCTCACAAGGAATTTATACATGGTCCACTTTTATGAAAAAAGTTTGCTGTTAAAAATATGAAAAAAGTTTAAAAAAAAAAATAGAGACCAAGACAATCTCAAGCAACTTTAAATCAGAATTACTTAAATATAAAATCAGATTAAATGAAATGAAAACACACTTTCTATCATTAAAATCGACCAAGGATTTTATCTAAGATATAAATCAAACAAAAGTAAGAATCAGTAACCATAATTTATGTATAGAAAAGACCAGATACCTTAGTTTGCCTCAACATCAACTAACACGTCTAACTTGTAAAACCATTAAAGATGAAAACCACTTTCTCCTGGTGAGGTAACAAAAACTTTGACATTTCCTTATCTTAATAAATCGAATCAAACAAGAAAAAGGAAACATTTGTCTGATGCTGTTGTAGTGTTTTGTATGCAAGGCTGTGGGACCTTAACTAGTGGACCAGTATAAGTAAACTAGTTACATTTTTGAAAAAAATATTTTTTGTGACTATATTGTATATATATATATATATTGGTGTATAATGTGAAATGTTCTTGACTTGGTGCTTAACTTACAATTTCATACATATTTTATGCCTTGCGATTATCATTAAGATGGGCATATATTTTACAAACTTTACATAAGTACGGCTAGAAAAAGGTAAAAGAAGAGAGCATTTTGTTTAAACCGATAAAAGATATGTGAAAGATACCCAAGGGATATTCAAACTCATAAGTCGAAAACAAACTGCAATGGCAGAAAAGACAAACAATGGTATATGGGACTAAGAGGGTGGGCAAGTTTCACAAGGAATAATGAATAGGATTGAATGTTGGAATAACAGATTTCTAACATTAAAAGACAGCGAGTTGCGTTACGGAAGCAATGTCACACAATTAATTCACTTGTATTACATAGGACTATAAAGATACGTTTTTGTACATGATGTTGTGAACTGATTTTGATTGGTGCTTAACCAAACACGTTTTAATTTTTTGTATTTGGTTTATCTTGAGATCGGTATATATTTCGCAAACTTCATTTAAATATTGGCTAGAACGGAGTGAGAGAAGAGAGCTATACATGTGGCATTAACACATAAACAGCGTATTTGAAGGTAAGGGGTTGGATTTAATAAAGCAATAACTTTCCTAACATTCAATGACAATAAGTTGTGTTATGGTTTTAAAGATTTAGTTGAATTGTACTATCTTGAATTAAGGAATGTCTTGGACTCTTGGAGTGAAACACATACAGAGGATTATAATTTTTTTTTTTATATATATCAGTTCAGTTTTCTATGAGCATTGTAATTTGTTTTTAGAAATAACAAGCTGTGTATTGTACTCATTTTTTATGTGTATTAAGTGTAACAGTACCAATATTTCTTCACCAGATGCGCATTTCGACAATAAGTGATGGTCTTGGCCAAAATATTTTACAATCCAAAGGTTATTGAAAAAAATGACGAGCTTATAAAGCAAAAATGACAAAAAAGTATAGCCAAAATCATAGAGCCGTTTTCGATAAGTCTTTAAGGCTTTAAAGGTATTTTATTCAAATAAACTGAATTGGATTTGGCAACAGGCAAAGTATATGTAAGCCATAAAACAAGGTACAATATATTACATTCACAAAAAACAACATATACACAAACATAATGACAACTCATTAATTATTTTTCCAAACTACCTCATAGCTGACTGGAAGTGTGTTTCAAGTAATTCAACTCAGAAAAAAATAAGTAATATTCTAATAATATTAATAAATTCTAATATCGATTAAGAGGCCTTACATTAAATTAAAATGTCTCCAGTCAGCTGCTCAATATTATTATTATAATAACTCATTTTTCCAAAACAACATGTTTGATGTCATGTACTTATTTTAACTAATTTATTGCACCTGAAGAATAACGACAGTGAGTAAATAACCATATTATTACTTTAAAAAACATAAATAATACAAGAAAGAATTTAGAATGTAAACACAAAATTAAAAAAAAAAGAGGTTTGAATGATATAGAAAATAGAGGTGCATTTATTAGTTTTGTTTGCTTTTAAATGTCAATTATTGTCATTTATTTTCTCTTTTATTTTATTCTGAGCGTCACTGATGAGTCTTATGTAGACGAAACGCGCGTCTGGCGTATTCAATTATAAGTCTGGTACCTTTGATAGCTATTTATGTTGCAAGTTGATCTATTTTTCAGCCGGTTGGGGTCTAAGAACATGAATATAAAATAAAATACATATATACAAAGTAACAATTTTATTTAGTTTCGGACAATACAATATATTTCACTATACAAATTTTTCTTGATTTTTAATGTACTCACGAACAGCCTTATCTATCTGAATATTGTCTTCAATACTCATATAGATTGATCACCAAATAGTAATGTTTACAGTGTATATAAACCTAAGTGTTTGAGTAAGAATTGTCGTATAAATGTTCATCTTATTTAACTTGATAGTCCGGTTTTGTCTATAAGTATCGCGCTTCCTTAAAATTGAATGATAGTTGTTTGCTAAATTATGTCCAATTGCAAAAAGAGGGACGAAAGATACCAGAGGGACAAATATCTTTTGTATATCGAACAACTTTAAGAGTTAACATTTACATTTTTTTTTCTTAAGTCGTGTATTTGTCCACCCGATTTCGGTCATTTTCATTGATATCTTTCTTCTATACTAGTAGTGGAAATTTTGAGGATATTTTAGAGTAAATAAATTTGTTAAATTAAATTTTATAAAAGAACATAGCTCCAATGTCCCCGTGTTGCACATTTTTTATGTACCCAAGAGCAATAACTGAAAAAAAAACTTTGTTCTTTAAAACATTTTATAAATATCTTATAGAAGTGAAGGGTTAAGAGCAATATAGTTAATATTTCCAAAGGGATATAATTAAATATTTAATCAGCACTGATTTTCGAACTTGTCCAAGGCATTGCTTATTTAAACCTTTGATTAAAAGCTGACAACATTGTGAATATTATAAATTAACTTTTAGCATTATGTCTATGTTATTTGTATACAATTGATTTTGTCTACAAGTAATGTTGTTTGTACTTAATCATTATTTTTGTTAAACGAATATTACTGAACTGAAAATCGATAATATTTTCAAATCTGTTCAGAGATCTGAATATGAACACAACGACGTGGACAGTTAAACAAGTCATACCAAAAGGATGAAAGTGATTAACAGGGGCGTGGTTATTTAGTTAAACGGGGATTAAGCAGGTCTTGAATTAGTATAATTTATTTGATTTAAAATATTTTACAATATATTAAACTGCATTTATTTTTTTCAAACCTGTTTTTAATTTATTCAAATAGGGTTAATACCTTTTAAGCCAATCAATCTTAATTTTTGTTTTTTCTATAGGAAGATTGATGTATACAAATGGTTATCCAACCATTTCTCAAATATCCCGTTTTAAAAACATACCTCAGTCTTCATCCAAGGCGCGTATAACTTTTCAGATAAATGTACTGTTTTATGCTGTGGACAGAAACACTCCTGGTTATTTGTCAAAGTGTCATAGTCAAAAGTATCTTTATAAAAATCGCCATCACTGCATTTGAAATTGAGTCCAAATGATAATTTTACCCTATAACTCTCTTTTATTTCTTCAACTACCCCTTTCACTTTATTGTAGATATTACTACACGTATCTCCGACTTCTCTTTGTTGTTTGGAAAAAGAAACAACCTGCAGAGCAATTATATCAGTCGACATTGTAACCAGAATCTTTTCACAACCAGATCTATCAATGTCAAACATACAAATTCCGCGGTATAAAGCAAATGATCCACTAGCACTGTCCACTTTGCTAGGATAGTAGTGTCTGATAAACCAGGCAGAAAGATGGTTGAAGAAAGAAGGTGGAAGAAAATCAAATTTTAAACACAGCCACGAAGTCCTTTTACATCCTTCTGTTCGAATGTTAACACTTTTGCATACATCTTCAAAAGCAGAAGCAGGCATCTTGCTTGGCATCATATAAAAGCGAGAGTTTTCAATTCTGACCAATATGTCAAGCTTTTCCATAATTTTATGCAAATTCACCTTTTGTCCTGAAAACTGACTTCCTTGTTTTGATTTGAAGAGTTTTGTTATTAAAGATTCACTTATTTTGCCATATTGCTTGAACAATATCCAGTCGTCAAGGTGGTGCAATCTACTGTTATCAACTCTATCTGAGACAAAACATCGGAAAGCATCAGCCAACCATTGAGGTTTCAGTATGATTAAATCCGGAATATTTTCAAAGAAAATAACATTCCCTACATTATGTTGAAATCTAAGAAACATCAACAAATCTTTTTTTTTTAGTATATTGATATCAGGATGTTTACCCATATTGACCATGTCAGTAAAAGTGATAAAATTTTTCCCATTGTCTTTATTTAATTCAATCAATTGCTCTAAAAGAATCCATTTTAACGGAAAAGCTTTACCCCAAATATCCATTTTTCTGGCAGTCTTGAAGATTGCGTTTTGTAACGTTAAGAATTCTTCCTCAGAATCTTCTGTATTTGACAAATAAAACTTTTCGTGCAAGTGATGATATTTGCTTCTGTGTCCCAAAACTTCATCTATTTGTTTATCAAGCTCCTCTTTTCTTTTTGTAAACTGTGCCTACATGCAAAAAACAAAGGAATCTAAGATGATCTTGGTTAATACTTTAACAGAAAATGAAGAGTTTTCAACTTTATAACTCTTAACAGTGTACGACATTTATTCTTATTCCAATATATCAATTGATCTCCAGAAAACTATAAAACAAACCATATTTATAGCATCTTAAACGGTACACGTTCTGCACATTGTTGAAGGCCGTACGGTGATCTGTTATTCTACACATTAATGTCAGCTGGTCTCTACGAAAGAAGTCTCATTTGCAATCATACCACATTTTCTTATTTTCATAATGAAAGAAAATTGATTATAGCGACAGTAGTTAATCGATGTTCAAGCCTTTGATTAACTCTTTTAAAGTACACGTATTTCGAATATTAATATCCGAGAGCCTTTTACAACTTATGTTATTGTATGCGTTTGTTAACTAAATATCCTTACATCATTGTCATTTCGTTTTTATACGGAGCTATATAACTGGTAAACATACCACATCTTAATTTTGTAATGGCGCTCTGATCATGCACAGATATTAATAATTCAAGTCTTTTATATATATATCACGTAAAACTGAGAAACACATTTTTAAAATTTCATTACCTTGTCACATTTATCCTTTCCAGTAAAAACTAATAGAATAGGAGGTTCAAAGTGCTCAGTCACTGGATTGTCGACCGTTCGATGACAATGGATAGAATCAAACCAAAAATCAACATACCCTGAAACAGATCAACATTGTTCATGTTGTTGAAAAGGAAGTGTAAAGAATTTAACTTATAAGAATAGTAATTATGATATATTTTTTTTCATTTAAACGTACACTAAAAAATGTCTAAAACCACCGGTCTAGAACATAATTTCTTTCAAACATTTGCAACTATGGTAGCTATGGTAGCAAATTTGCCAACTCAACTTCATAATTTAAAAAATAATTCACCTTGAACTTTTCGAAACACTTCGGATTTTCTACCCCATAATTATATTATCTTAGCTGTATATGGCAAATCTTTTAGAATTTTGAATCCTCACTGCTCGTCAGCTATTTTATGTTACTTTTTCATTTTTTATGATTCGAGCGTCACTTATGAGTCTTTTGTAGCCCAATCGGCGTCTTGCGTAGATGATGAGTTTAACTCCTTCATTAAAGCTTGCAATCACATTAATTAGATTTCGCATTTTTGTCAGAAGTCAATGTTATCTGAAGTAACAATAACATGGATGGTCGTATGGTGATATTAATGTATACACTGATTAATACAAAAAAAAAACTGAAAATCCGAAAAAGGATGACATCTGCATCCGTTATCAATCAGGTATCCCCCCTTGATAAATGATATCGTAAACATCCGTTGTATTAAAGTGTTCTGCATACCCGCCCTTTGATAATTCTAAGCACACTACCTCCAACATCCTGAAAATTAGCAAAACACTGACTAGTGCTTTGTTTGCTGATATCGCTATTCATATCTGCAACAACAAGGTATACCGCATTACTTGTCAAAAATGCTTGATGTGTAGCATAAAATTCCTTTTGTCCTGCAAAGTCCCATAATTCACATAATGCATAAAGGTTCGATGAAGTATTTGTAGCTGAGTAAGTTAGCACATGAGACATCAAATCCTCAGGCATAACCAATAACGAAGGCCCATTATCATCTATATTTTCGTCAATATTTTCTTTGTCAGATAGTTCCTCATGATGCGTTATAGTGTCTCCCTTTGTCGCATCTACGCACATTTCCGTAATGTCTTTCTTATGACCAGATACATCATGTGTAATGTCTACCGGGGATAATTTATTTTCGATTTTTGACATTTTATCTAGTGCATTGCTACCAGTTTTTTGTATTTTTTCTAATTCAGCCAAATCCTTCTCTCTATAATCCTCTGTTGTAATTTTTGAATTATCATTTGGAGTAAGTGCTCTCTTTATTCGGTCTTCTTTATCATCATCAATATCTAGAAGACAAACATGAATGATGTTATCTTTATTATTTTATTACTATTTGACAAGCCACACATAGTTAATGTAATAACTTACATGTGTAAGTGTTTCAACTTTCAAGTACAACTTAGTCTTAGTCTTAGTCTTTGGTTTTCTATGTTGTGTCATCTGTACTATTATTTGTCTGTTTGTCTTTTTATTTTTGGCCATGGCGTTGTCAGTTTGTTTTCGATCTATGAGTTTGACTGTCCCTCTGGTATCGTTCGTCCCTCTTTTGGATACCTTAGAATTAACTCCAACCCTTAACGGGGGCTTAATACTTCAATGAGACTGGTTTTCTGTTAAGAATGCATACTTTTACTTTCATTTATTTTCGTCTTATTTTCGCAAAACAAGAGGTATAATAATCGAGCAAAATGATTGTTATTTTAATTATAAAAATCAAAGAAATTATTGTATTTTTGTGTAGGTAAACACGCAGTTTCCTCAGGAAGATAAATGAAATTTCAGCATATAACATGAAATAATCGCGGTCCTCAAACCATGCTTCCAAGATCGTTGTCATTTGTAAGTTAAGAACTTTAGAAAAATTGTAAATGATTATGTTATCTTATTATACATCTGATCAAGGTGTCTGCAATCTTAAGCCAAATGCTTGTTTGATCTTACAATTAACTTTAAAACATCCTAATTGTTAATTGTTAATGTTAATTTAGTTTATTACAAATTTGATCAAGGTGTCCGCAACCTTAAGCCGAATGTCTGTTGAATAAACTATTCGCAATTGGCAGATAATGTTCAACAGTGTATGCTACAATTCAGGAGTTTGGGTTTGAAAGATAAATAAGAACAATGTATCTTCAATGTAAAATACAATCAAATATAATGTACCAAACATAGTCAATGTTTATATGTAACATGAAATGTTTAAAATTAGTTATGATGCCACGACAGACTTGATTGGACAAAACTATATTTGTGTTTACAATATAGTTGAAGCTCACAAAAGGTGATTAAACGTCATTAAAATGTTAATGTTATGTAAATGTAATGTAATATAAATGTAATGCAATGATATTTTGCATGCAAGTTTGCATTTATGTACACTGTTTTATGTATTCATGAATGTGTGTATGTCTGTAAGGAAGCACATATGTGACGTTATGTAAAGTAATATATAAGTTATGTAATGTAATGAATATGTTATATGTTATGTATATTTAACGTAATGTAATGCAATTTATAAGTAATATAATATAATGTAATGTAGTGTAATATATGTTATGTATTGTAAAGTATATGTAATGTAATACCATGTATATGTAATGTAAAGCAATGTATATGTAATGTATATGCTATGATATGTATATGTTATGTATATGTAATGTAATGTAATGTAATGTAATGTAATGTTATGTTATGTTATGTTATGTTATGTTATGTTATGTTATGTTATGTTATGTTATGTAATGCAATGTATATGTAATGTTATGCAATGTATATGTAATGCAATGCAATAAATATGTGCACCACTTATTGCGGACCTTTTTTTGTATTGCTATGAGTTACAATTTATGACAAAAATCAGCAAAGACCCATCGAAACAACATCTGATACACAAAGGAGAAGGTATGATAAGCTACGTGATCGGCCCCCTATTTTAGTGAAAAATTAAAGACAATTGTTTTTATGAAATATATGTTTTTTAACTTCCATAAATATCGAACTAACATAAACACCATTGAAGTCCGAATATTTCAAACTGTTAACAATCAAAACGACACGTTTTTCTTTGCCTAGTAACGCAAAAACAACAAAATCGTAAGTACTTAACTGTAATATCGAATGAATTAAATAGGAGCGGACGCTCGCCCCAAGAAGATATTTTCAGATATTGTCAAAAATGTAAGTTTGTATCATCTTGCAAAAGGACTTTTTGGGGCGATCGTCCGCTCATACTGAAATTTAAAAAAAACTGCCGGAATTTTGCCCCATAACTTACTTTTTACCGGTTGACGGAATGAACTCGGTTTTTTTTCCCGAATTTACGTACATTTTTCCAAGCTCATTTTCATACACGTAGATTAAGTTAAAAGACTTATGTGGACTTTTCCAGTGATAGAAATACATGGATATCAACTACGAATTTTATTTAATGACCAATCAATAGTTCATTTCGAACTGCCGGGTTGTAAGACTTATTTTGTGACTCTGTTTCTATCGGAAGGAACTGACACGATAGATTACATTAGCAACCTGGAGAGCCGAAAAACAAAGGTATGTACTTCACAATATTTTTTATATAAATTGAAAGATAATTTTATCAGAAATCTGTTAAAAAACATTTTGTAAACAGAGCAACAAATCGCCGATAAACTTGAGAGTTTCATTGTGATGATAGGGAAGCGGCAGACGATCATGATCAGAACAATGGTAAAAAATATTTCTGTAGAAAATACTATGCGGTAAAATACACGTATTTTTTGTTTCAACTTCGATATTTGTAAAAAGTAACCAACCCCGATAAATTTATTTGGTTTATCAACTGAATTAAGAAAAATATACTCGTCACTTGATTTTGACAGAAAATTTAAGTACATCAAAATTACGATATACAAGTGATCTGCCGCCGTGGCGCAATGGTACACATCGCTGCTTCCCATCCTAGACGGGTAAAGTTCGAACCTCAGATTCTGTTTTTTTTTTTTTTTTTTATATATAAAATTACGTAAATAGTATTATCTGAATATTATTAATAATTTGTTCTTGGACGAAATAACAAACACTTATAAGGCATAAAGATGTTCACTATATGGAATTGTAGAATGATAATGATTATTACTGTTATTTCTTTTCATGATTTTCAATGATGGAAAGTTACTTCTCAGCTGTAAAATTCATACCCGTTTCTTTACTGGAACTTGAATCCAGTTATGTTGAAGATCTTGACAAAATTATGATTAAAAGATAATGTTTACATTCCAAAGGAATCATTAACATGATTAAAATATCAACAAGCAAACAAAAAGGCTATGTTTCCCTGTCACGCCAACTCTGTGGATTTTTTAAGAAATATTTCAGCTTTGTATTCATCTGCTGAGTAAATCCTTTTTCAACTGATTTTTATAGTTCATTCTTATGTTTTACTGTTACACAACAACTGTCCCAGCTCAGGGGCAGGTTGTTGCTAACAAAAACCCCTCCACATTCTGTATGTGTCTGTCAGGAGCATGTATGTCAGTGGTTGCCGTTTGTCGCTGTATATCATATTTGTATTTCGTTCATCATTTTGTAGTTGGTCAGTGGCGGATCCAGAGGGGGGGGTATTGAGGTTGGAACCCCCTTCTTTACGATCACTGATGCATTTAAAGGGGGACATATAATTGGACCCCCCTTTTTATCCTGGATTAGAAACTCCCTTTTAAAAATGGCTGGATCCGCCCCTGTTGGTAATTTCTGTATCATTTGGTGTCTTATGGAGAGTTCTCTAATTGGCAATTATACCACATATTTTTATTTTTATAGGACTAATCCGACTTAGTTTTCAATATGCCCGGTTCGAATTACCTAAACTTTTAATATGAAATAGAACGGCCTTGCACTGTTACAGGAAGGCGGCTGGAAAATTTTTGATTACTATAGTACGTAAGGATAATCTCCATGAGGTGTCAACCTTAAAGTATTATAACCAAATATATGATTATCTTTAAACTATAAGAATAGAAAAATTAGTTAACATTGCTGTTCTTGTGTCCTTGTCGGTGCTGTTGCAATACAAAGAGTTTAAACCACAGCGAAAATCTCAGATACATTTGTAATCAACATAATTTTTTTTTCTTTTTTAGATTTAAGATACGTTGCTGTACATCACAGCAATCCCCATGCCCAGGGCCATGGCTTGGTTTCTTCATGCATGGATTGTCCTTAATATTAAAAGAAGGAGATGGTAGAGAATATATGTATTAAACTTAAATGTAAGTTGCAAAATTATTATAATTGATAATACTTGAAAGGGGCATTAGGTACGATATATGTAATAAAATAAAATACACACGAAATACAGATACATATTATCGAGTCCATGCATTGTAAACTGTTTAAGACTTTTTATACGACCGCAAAATTTATATAAAATACACACGAAACACAGATACATATTATCGAGTCCATGCATTGCAAACTGTTTGTTTAAGACTTTTTATACGACCGCAAATTTTTATTTGAGTTCGTATATTGCTATCATGTCGTTGTCCGAAGACACATTTGGTTTCCAGACAATTACTTAAGTTTAAGTGAATGAATCGCTATAAAATTTTACCAGAGGGTTCAATACCACAAAAGGAAGGTTGGGATTGAGTTTGGGGGTAATAGCCCCAAACGTTCAGGAAGTAGGGGCCAAAAAGTGACCTAAAACAAGCATTATTTTTAACCGGATTTTCAAAGGAAATATCGGTTATTAAAATGGTGACATACGGCTGGCGGCTGGGCGGATCTACGGGCGGCTGCCAAATAGCTTGTCAGCAGAATAACATGAAAACGCTTTAACAATTTTTTTTCAAATTTAAATATGTTCTTTCCTCGGACTTAATGAAGGTCTAGTTCAATTTTCAAGATATTAGTATATCTCCTTTGTGAGTTATCGCCATTTTTAATATATATGGTTTCAATTTGAGAATGTGCTTTTATCTTGTAAACAGTTTGGATCCCCACCCCTAAACCATATATATTCTTGTATGGGACAATAAAACAAATCAAATGAAATATTTGGGGAGTCCCCGGGTTCACCCCACCCCCTACTTTTTGAAAACTTGTAAACGGGCAAGATCCCAACCCTGAAACCATATATATTCTTGTATGTAACAACAAAACAAATCAAATGAAATAAAAGGCGAGTCCCCTGTGGTCACCCCCATCGCCTCCTGTTTGAGAACTTGAAAACGGTCGAGATCCCAACCCCTAAACCATATATATTCTTGTATGGGATAATAAAACAAATCAAATGAAATATAGGGGAAGTCCATTGGGGTCACCCCGACCCCCCTTCTTTTTGAAAACTTGTAAATGGTCTAGATCCCCACCCCTAAACCATATATATTCTTGAATGGAACTATAAAACAAATCAAATGAAATTAAGGGGAAATCCCCTGGGGTAACCCCCACCCCCCTTCTTTTTGAAAACTTGTAAACTGTCAAGATACCCACGCCGGAACCATATATATTCTTGTATGGGACCATAAAACAAATCAAAAGAAATATAGATGAGTCCCCTGGGGTCACCCCCACCCCCTCCTCTTTAAAAACTTGTAAACGGTCGAGATCCCCACCCCTAAACCATATATATTCTTGCTAGGGACAAAAAAACAAATCATATGAAATAAAGGGAGAGTCCCCTGGGGATCCCCCCCCCCCCCCCCTTTAACCATATAAATTCCTGTTCGTAATTTCAAGAAGATTTGAATGACATACAGGGTATATCCATAGGCGTCACTTATGCATATCATAAACCAATTTGTACTGGACATTGCCCAATGTCAATCGACAATGGGAATGACGAATTATTGGAGCTTTGTTTTGGAGACTTCGTAACAGCATTCTGTTACAATTATTTCTTGTTACTGATAAGTTTTATAGATTTTGAAATGACATTGTATTAATGATAAATAAAATTTTGGATTTTTTTCTTCTTTTCTTTGGTAAATTGTTTGTAGAATTTTGTGGCAAGTTTGTTTGTTATTCTGTAAAAACTAATTTTCTGAATGCTATATATTTTTTTTTTAATGAAGTAAACTCCTTTAAAAACTAAGCTTATATTGTCTATTTTTCATTTTAACATTGTTATTTCTGATTAAACAATTGTTTGTGTTTTCTATTTAATTTTTTGTATTTTTTTTTATCAGAGTGAGCATTGCGACAAGTTGCGCTAGAGGCTGCATCTAAATCCAAATATTCTCATTGCACAAAAACTTTACAAAACATGTAACTACAATGTATATCCTTTAAGGACCTACCCTAGGTGACTTCTGCATAAAAACCTTGTTCATGAGCACTATATATATCTTCGAGGAGGACTATATAATAACCCTTTCTGATTTTTATTTATGTATGTTGTGATAAAAAGTGTTAGAACATTAATAAAAGCTATTTTTGTAATGGATGTAATGCTGCTTCTGGTGCATGGTCAAGAAACACTAAACATTATTGGTTATATGGCTACATATATTATTAACTCATTTATATTTCATGTTATGAGGTTTATTGTGTGTACTATCTATATTGTAATTTTTTAATATAAAACTCATTATACTGATTATGCCCTTAAAAGGTCCTCTATGGGAAATAAAATTTATCTTATCTTATATGCTGATATATTTTTACGTTTTAAATTAATCAATAATATTTTTTTACATTTTTCCAGGTGACTGATGGCTAAAGACTACAAGTGTGTTGTTTGTGGGAGATGTCATCTAAAATCCAGGCGTAAAATCACCACTAAAGCACTGAAACAGTTTGTAAAGAAAAGAATTGAGCGAAACATTCAAGAAAATGATGTGATACATGTATGTGAGAAGTGTAGAGCAATATACAGGAAAACACTAAAAAGTGTAAACAATGAACAGAAAGTTTCAAACTGTCTTTTCGAGTGTATTTCAGATGACAGTGACTCTGAGTTTGTTATAAATATAGAAGAAGCCGTATCTACGAAAATATTAAGTCCGAAACAAATTGAATTGAACATTTCTTCCACTCACACATCACATAGATTCTGCATTGTATGCAAGAAGGAAGGTAGCAGTAGAAACAAGTTATGCAAAGTTCCTTTACAGGCAAGAACCCAAGCCTTTATAAAAAATGCCGTTTTTATAGATGGGAATACACGCTGTTGCAAACACCATTTATCTGAACAACTTTTCGACAACACGTCACTTCAAGCATTAACTGCAAAATACACTACAACATATATGAATCGTTCTGATATAACTTCATTATTAGAAAATGTAAGACAAACTTTGGCAAACTCTCATATCCTGAATTTTGACAACCCATTATCATTATCTGATGGTGACTATTACAATCTAACTGGATTATCAAAGCAGCAATTCAATGAACTCTCCTCATATATTGTTTCAGCACGTCAAACCAATGTTAGGTCTGTACGCACATGTATAGCTGTCTTGTTAACAAAACTAAGGACAGGACTTCCAAACCATATACTTGGAACAATATTTTCGTTAACCAAAAGCCAGGTGCAAAGATGCATTCATAGTGCCAGAGTTTCTCTTATGCAGGATTTTGTACCACATTTTATTGGGTTTCAACATATAAGCCACGAAGATTTTGTTCGGAATCACACCACTCCAATAGCTAAAACTCTGTTTGCCAATGATTCCGAAGATGCTGCAATTATTGTCATGGACGGTACTTATATCTACCTTCAAAAAAGCTCTGATTATGAATTCCAGAGGTTGTCATACAGCCTTCATAAAAACAGACCTCTAGTCAAACCAATGGTTGTTGTTGGAACTGATGGATATATCCTGTCAGTTCTGGGTCCATATTTTGCAAACGGAAAAAATAATGATGCAGCAATCACGAAGCATATGATTTCTGTCAATGCAGAAGGAATGAATGAATGGCTACAGACTAGTGATGTTTGTGTTGTAGACCGGGGATTCCGAGACGTGGTAGACTTTTTTAAGGGAGCAAGGCTAGAATTTAGAAATGCCCGTTTACCTTAAAAAAGGGTCCAAACAGCACCCGGTAGAAGAAGCTAACGCTAGTAGACTAGTCACCAAAGTTAGATGGGTGGTTGAAAGTGTAAATGCTCGTGTCAAGCAATGGAGATTTTTTGACAAAGTAGTATCAAACCATTTTATTCCAATCATTGGTGATCTATTACGCATTGTATGTGCTGTTTGTAATAAGTTTCGCCCACCACTTGCTACTACACACCCTGATGATAAAAGTATTGCTGAAGCCATGCTTGAAAAATGTAAAAGTGGAAATGAAATCCAAAAGATGGTGACGGAAGAAGGTTTATTAACAAAACGTACCATTTACAAATTAGTTGATGCATCAAATGTTCTAGATGAAATAACTGATTTTCCCGTTCTCAGTATGGAGAAATTACGAGAAATAACCATGGGGGTATATCAGCTTAAACAGGCCCCTAATTATGTCAGAGAACATGAGGGTGAAGATGGAAAATTTGAAATGTATGTGTGCAAAATTAAAGAAAACCTGCTCAAAATTAAAATACAATCAAGACACAGTAACAAACTTTCCCATACTGTCTTTATAAGTTACAGTGACGAAGGAGGTATAGAAGGATGGTATTGTACATGCAAAGCGGGAGCACGAATAGTTGGTTGTTGTGCACACGTTGCAAGTGTGCTGTGGAATCTAGGGTATCAAAGACTTGAACAGCAGTCTGTTTCAAGGGGAGACTTTAAAACATCCGTCTTAGATGCATCTCACATACCTAGTTCTGATGAAAGTGACTGTGATTCTTTGCCAGAGGAGTAAAATAAATATAATACAAACTGTGTGTATTTGACAGCTACTCTTCACTTATATTTTAGAGCATAAACTTAATTAAAATTCTGTTTGCTAAGAAAATGTCCAAATAATTCATTAATTCACATATTTTTATGAGCATTTACAAACAGCTAATGCCTTGTTCTCATTATTTACCGAATCATGCTGATTTGGTCATTATATTGTAGTTAAATAACTTTTCTAAAATGAAATGGTCATAACTTATTCATGTTATTGAATTCTATTGTCAATGCAAATGTTATTAAACAAGATTTTTATATAATTTTCGGTGTACTTAAAATTGGTATATCGAATTCTCAGACGATAAGGAGTAAACAGGCTATGAAACAAAATGCTGTTCGTATACATTTAACTTACATGAGATTGTTGTATTTTGTATAAGAAAAGACTGCTTTTTAAATGTAATAACACAAAAAAAAGTCGAACGCTATTATATAATAGTCAAGTATTAAATCTATTTTGTGTTTCCATGATACCCACTGAATTCATAAGTCTAGTATAAGTCGAAAACATTACCTTTTTGGACCAATAGAAAATTATTTCTGTTGATTTTGAAAAGTTAAGTTTAGAATATAAGATGGTACAAATTAAAATAATAATACTCATGAAAAGTATCTTAATATGTTTGTTCAAACACTTCCCTATCTGACTTGCTGTTGTTGCTAAGGAAATACTGGTAAATATAAACATGATGTTGATAACTAGAACTACAAAAAGCAAACTCAAGCCGTTACTTAAGATTTTCATATTGCCTAATAAAGTCCTCAGTGGTTTCTAGGGACCATGGTCATTACTAGATTGAAGCTATTACTGTAACGCAATGCATACTAAATATTCATCTTGATAATTTTAAGCATTTGACACCACTTACTGCATTTTAAATATTTCAAAGCCATTTCAAAGAGAAATTGCACAAAAAAATGATATGTTATGGTATTTTAATTAGTAAAATCCGTTACTAGGCAACCAACTGTTCATGTGAGAAAAAAATGCTCTATGAAAAGATTTATAATGAACTATTATGCAGTTATGTAAAGAAAGTGACTAAAAACACCTGTAACATACTAGTATCTTATAAAATGTTAACCGTTGCTATATGCGCTATTTCTGTTGCTTCGTTGTTGTCAAGCATTTATATAATAGAGCTAAAATTATACTGATATTTTCAATTCTTACCAATTGTTATTCTCGAACATGCATTCTGTTTTTGCATTTATTTTTATTAGTACAATAAAATGACTACTTCATTTGCAGTAAGCTTTAATTTGATATTTTATGCTGTTGCTAAGCAACAATTGTGTTGCTATGCTCAATATAAACCTAGTAAAAAAAGATAAGGATTACTCACAAATTGTATTATAATGTAACACCATTATATGAACACAAACATTGCTAGATTTATACTCAAGAGGACAAAAATCACCTTTAAATAACCGTTGCTAGGGAATATTTCTGTTGTTAGGTTGTTACAAAGGATCTTGTAAACTCAAATTAAAGTGACTATTCATTTGTAACTTCAAGTTATTCTCAAACCAACCATCTTATCTGGAAATATGGTTATTTGTACAGATACAGCAATTCTTATGTGCTTATTCTATTATATAATATAAACCTAGTAAAAAAAGATAAGGATTACTCACTTCTTTTAACCGGAACATAAAAAAATCTTTTTTTTTTAAGTTTCTATACTAAGGCTAACAATGGTATGAATTAAGGCTTCTTTTGAGAGGGGGCCAAAAACGCCCCTTATCATACCTTCTCCTTTAATAATACTTTTAGATATTTGGATGATATTTTGGCTCTCAATAATGACGACTTCAGTGTGTATACTAAAGAAATTTATCCTGTTGAACTTACTTTAAATAAAGCTAATACTAACAATGACCACTGCCCTTTCCTCGATCTTGATATCTATATCATTAACGGAAAGCTTAATACTAAAATATATGATAAAAGAGATGATTTTTCATTTCCTATCGTAAATTATCCATTTTTAGATGGTGACGTTCCCTTGTCACCATCTTACGGTGTTTATATATCTCAACTTGTACGATTCGCTCGTGTATGTAACAATGTTTTAGATTTTAATGAGAGAAATTTATGTATTACTGAAAAATTATTACACCAGGGTTTTCGATATCACAAACTAGTCAAAACATTTACTAAATTTTATCATCGGTATAAGGACATCATTCGTAAATATAGCTCAACATGCAGACTTCTTATACGTTCAGGTATTTCACATCCAATTTTTTATGGAAATATTCTTTATAAAGCACAAAAATGTCAGTATTCACCTCTGAAGCTAACAAAACCTTTAAATAGACTTATTAAGAAGGGATATAGTTACGATACTGTTGTCAGGTCATTAAAGATTGCATATTTTGGCGTTAATATTGATTCACTTATAGGGTCTTTGCATCGGCACTAAACACATTTATTTAAAAACCAGTTGTTGGCATGACACGGGTTATGTTCTTCTCATATATGTTATGATGGTATGATACTAAACCCCTAACGGGAAGGATTGTGCCTGATATTCATATGATGAAGACATAATCTTTCAATCAGTTTAATTGAAGTCTGGAGCTGGCATGTCAGTTAACTGCTAGTAGTCTGTTGTTATTTATGTATTATTGTCATTTTGTTTATTTTCTTTGGTTACATCTTCTGACATCAGACTCGGACTTCTCTTGAACTGAATTTTAATGTGCGTATTGTTATGCGTTTACTTTTCTACATTGGCTAGAGGTATAGGGGGAGGGTTGAGATCTCATAAACATGTTTAACCCCGCCGCATTTTTGCGCCTGTCCCAAGTCAGGAGCCTCTAGCCTTTGTCAGTCTTGTATTATTTTTAATTTTAGTTTCTTGTGTACAATTTGGAGTTTAGTATGGCGTTCATTATCACTGAACTAGTATATATATATTTGTTTAGGGGCCAGCTGAAGGACGCCTCCGGGTGCGGGAATTTCTCGCTGCATTGAAGACCTGTTGGTGACCTTCTGCTGTTGTCTGTTCTATGGTCGGGTTGTTGTCTCTTTGACACATTCCCCATTTCCATTCTCAATTTTATTTTAATGTAATGCAATATATATGTAATGTAATGCAATGTATATGTAATGTAATGCAATGTATATGTAATGTAATGCAATGTTTATGTAATGTATATGTAATGTAATGTACATGTTAGTAAGGTAAATGCTATGCAAATTTTATGTAATGATATGTAAAGTGTTTTTGCATGCAAGTATACATTTATTCAGTTTGCATATCCCTTTCTATGTATATAGATATAGGAAGATGTGGTATGAGTGCCAATGAGACAACTCTCCATCCAAGTAACAATTTATAAAAGTAAACCATTATAGGTCAAGGTACGGCCTTCAACACGAAGCCTTGGCTCACCGAACAGCAAGCTATAAAGGGCCCCAAAAATTACAAGTGTAAAACCATTTAAACGGGAAAACCAGCGGTCTAATCTATATAAAATCGAGAAACGAGAAACACGTATAAACTACATAAACAGACGACAACTACTGTACATCAGATTTCTGACTTAGGACAGATGCAAAAAATTGCAGCGGGATTAAACGTTTTAATGGTTCCAAACCTTCTCCCTTTTCTGAAACAATAGTATAAACTCACAACATAGAAAGACATACTAAAAAATATCAATTGGAAGGCTTAACTCAATCAAAAAACGCAAATTAACACACAATGAACGAATGAATTTGATCTGTGATACCTGAATGCAAATACATAGTTAATAAAAATTATAAGCATGAATTGTAGTGTGTCTGTAAGGAAGCATTTTAGCTTGTATATGTATATGTACGCATGTTGTTAATGAAATATAATGTAAAGTTATGAACTGTACTGTAATATAATGTACTTAAATGTTACGTTAATGCATTGTTGATCAAGAATAAAAGAAATATTTAATAATAATGTATTGAAATGTATTGTAAAGTAATATTTACGTTATATTTTGGAAATATAATGTATGTAATGTAATGCACATTTTCATTATTAATTGTAATGTTATTTAATATAATGCAATGCAATGAATTGTAATGTTATGTAATGTAATGAAATGTCATATTATGTAAATGTAATGTAATGTTGTTATAAATTTTAATGTAAAAAACTGTCTTATAAATGTATATAAACATCATTTACTGTAATTTAATTAATGCATGTAATATGATGTTATGTAATGTAAATTGAATGTAAATGTATACGTCATAAAAATGTTAATGTTATGTATATGTAATATAATATAAATGTAATGCAATGTTATTTTGCATGTAAGTTTGCATTTATGTACACCGTTTTATATATGCATGAATTTGTGTATGTCTGTAAGGAAGCACATATGTGACGTTATGTAATGTAATATATAAACTATGTAATGTAATGAATATGTTATGTTATGTTATGTATATGTAACGTTATGTTATGCAATTTATATGTTATGTCGTGTTATGTAATGTATAAGTAATATAATATAATTTAATGTAATGTAATATACATGTAATGTAATGTAAAGTCTAAGTAAAGTGTATGTAATGTAATGCCATGTATATGTAATGAAAAGCAATGTATATGTAATGTATATGTTATGTAATATATATGTCTGTATGGTTATATATCTGTTTGTAATGTAAATGCTCTGCAAATTTTATGTAATGTAAATCTTATGTAATGTTATGTTATGTTATGTATTTTTGCATGCATGTATAAATTTATGTTAGTTTGCACATCGATTGTATGTATTGCATGCATTGGTATAAGTCTTTAGAAAGCATTGAAGCTTGTATATATATATATGCATCCATCTTGTTAATGAAATATAATGCAGTGTACTGTACTGTTATGTTAATTTTATATAATGTAAATATATCATGATATTATGTATTGCAGTTTTATTATGTATGGTACTGTTATGTAATGTAATGCAATTGATTGTAATGTTATGTAATGGCATATTATGTTATGAAATGTGATATTATCCAAATGTAATGATATAAAATGCAATGTAATGTAATGTCGTTTGAATGTTAATGTAAATGTAAATAAATGCCAGTTTGTGTAATGTAATGTAATGCATGTAATTTAATGTCATGTAATTGAAATATAATGTTATGTAATGTAAATGTAATTTAATGTATTGTAAATGTCATGTAACATAATGGAAATGTAATGTTACATAATGAAAATGTAATGTTATTTAATGTAAATGTAATGTTTATGTAATTTAATGTAATACGATGTAAATTTAGTGTGATGAAAGGTAAATGTAATCAAATGCATATATATGTAATGTTATGTTGTGTAATGTATGTCAATGTATACGTAATGTAAAGTAACGTATGTGTTATGTTATGTCATGTATATGTTATGAAATGTAATGTATTTGTCATGTAATGTAACGTATATGAATGTAATGTCATGTAATGTATATGTAATTATAATGTAATGTAATATATATGTATTGTAAATGTTATGTAAATGTATATGTAATAGAAATGTAAGTGTTATGTAAATGTAAGGTAATATAAATGTAATGTAATGTTATTTTGCATGCAAGTATGCATTTATGTTAATTTGCAAACACCGTTCTTTGTATGCATGAATTGTATGTCCGTAAGAAAGCATATTGTATGTCTGTAAGAAAGCATTTACGCTTGTTTGTGTATATGAATACATGTTGTTCATGTGGCGTAATGTAATGTAATGAAAATGTAAATTTTATGTCATCTTTTGTAATGTTATTATAAATGTATTTAAATGCAAATTAATGCAATGTATGTAAATGTAATGTAATGTTGTTTTAGGTATTATAATGTAGTGTAATGTTCCGTACTGTATTGCACTCTAATGTAATGTAAATTAAATGCTATGTAATGCAATGTCATTTTAAAGCAATATAAATTAATAATGTCATGTAATGTACTGTACTTTGAAATAATGTTAATGGAATATAGTTGGTAAAACATTCCTGTAATTTTTCGAAATAAAATTCAGTGTAAAAACTCAAATCGCGAGCAAATCAAGACTATATTGTAAATCATTTATTTTGCGTTATATTAAATAATCAAAATTTAACTATTGTATTTACGCCAAGAAACAAGTCATTTACTTAAGAAAAAAAATAATACTACTTACTGGTTATCTGCTATTGCTC